TGGACATATATATATATATATATATACATATATACACACATATATATATTATTAGGGATATACCGATACCATTTTTTCAAGTACAGGTACTGATACTTGCCCAAGTACGTAAAGATACGAGTGCTGATACATTTTTGTTTATTGTCATGTGACAGTTTTTTAAAAACAATACAGACCAATGATTTCAGGACAGTGGAGGAGCGCCAGAGCCAGGTCCCAGTTGCAACCGCTGCAACCCTGGAAGTTCTAAGGAAAATCCCAAGTATAGGAACTGGTATCTGGACATCCCTAGTATTTAGTAAAAGCAACAACACCCTATTTCCACATTACAAGCACATAAACAAATGCTTATTGGGTAAGTCCACTTTCCCAGGTGAAACTGGGAAATGGAATTACTACGTCCAATCTGGCCCCTCCCTCCCCTGCTTCAATGCATTGAGTCACCAACACAGGACAAGTATGCAGAGAAGGTGATGTTCTAACATGATATGTATACTTGTTCCAGGTTAGTGACACACAGTACTAAATCCAGAGGTTCAACATAATAGCCAGGCAACTATTGTTAGAAATGTACACAATAGCAGTCTAAAATTTATTTCAGGGAAGGTTTACTTCAAAATGTTCCCTGAAAAACCTCTCCATGTTCCAAGAGAAAAAAAAAAACCTTCAGAAATGAGAAGTTTCTTTTGGGAAAAAATTTGTCAGACCGAACATGCTGAATCCACTTTTGAATAAATAGGGATGTACCGATAGGGGTTTTTCAGTATCGAGTACCGATACTTCGGTAGCATGGAGCCGGCTTTACCGGGCAGCGTGTCATTACCATGTGTACCCAGCCAGTCAACAAGGAGCCGGCTTCCCGCCCAATTAGGAAGCCGGATCATTAGCCGCTGCATGGCAAGCCAGCTACATGCCGTTTGGTTGCAAAGCCGGCATCCCAGCCAATCAGCATGGAGCCGGCTTTCAGGCCAATCAGGAAGCCGGTTCATTACCCGCTGCCCGGGTTCCTGATTGTCTGGGAAGCCGGCTCCATGTTCCCTTGCGGTACTGCCGGTCAGAGGAAATCTCCCTCTGACCAGAAGTTCTGGTATAGGGATAAGTATCGGAGCATTTGAAGATGAAGTGGAGAAAAAGTACAGAAATAAAAATCGTATTTGCCAAAATTATCCGCCATGAGATGACGAAATACTAAAGAGCTTACCTTAAAAGAAGATGCAAACTCCTCTGGAGTATGCAGAGTGATATTTCCTGCGGACTCTCTGGTATATACAGAGCAAGGAATAACAAAATCTCCAGGTAAGAGAGCAGAAGGAACCTTCCCCACAACGCCAGATTTCTCCCGACCGGGAACAAACCGATCAATTGTCAAGGTTACACCTTCCTCATCTGATAGGAAACAGGAACAAAAGGCAAAAACAATATGGACATTTTCTTCAAATACATTATACTTTGCACAACACTTACATATCCTGAAATAACGTGGAATTGTTGCCCATAGCAACCAGATTACATGTTTTATTTTTCCACCTTGGAAAATAAAAGATATTCAGTTGCCATAGATAACCGTGCCCTTCTTCCATGGCTCATGGCTACATAGCAATAAATACAAACTCAGCAGCTAATTTCCTTAGCACCTAGGCTTGGCAATGGCCAAGCTTTCACTGTCAGTCAGCGGCTCCAACATAGACACCCACCTTAGATGCTCAAATCAGGTGCCATATTAAAACAGCACCAAGATAAACATGATTGCAGGGCTGTTTTAAAACGGTATTTGAGAGCTCAACAAATGAAGCCATATGAGGTAATCAGAATAATCTGCCCTAGGTGTCATTCTAGATGTCACTAACTAATAACCAATCCATATGAAAGTCATGTGATATTTAAAAGGGCATTTCTTTAAGAATTCACTTTACATAAAAGGAGAATGTTATACCATGTTAAAAGAACTAAAGCCAAACTTTTTTTTTTGGCTTTAGTTCTTTGGGTCACAGGAGGAGTTTTACTAATGTACACCTGTGACCTAAAATCAGCGTATAGCGGACTACTGCCCGATATACGCTGACAGCCATGTTGCAACCAGGAATGATCCAGACAATATTGTCAGAAGCTACCCTGCTGATTGATTGACAGCTAGCTCTGTCTAGAAGCAAAGCCAGCAGTGCCCATCCCCTCCCCTGTATGTCCCTCCAATGACACTGGAGGAACAAAGAGGGGAAGAGGGAATCCCTGCAGGGAGCAGTGACTGACGGTCACCACCCTCTGAAGCGAGAAGCCGTGAGCTGAGCGACTGGCGGTTTAGATCGCTCAGTTTTTGATCTGTAGAGCCAGAATGTGACAGCTGCAGTGTCATATGCCAGCTCTAAGTATTGAGAATACATTTTACACTCTCAATACTTCTGCTTTAACCAACAAAAAGTAGAAGTTTGGATTAAAGGCTTGTTCACATCATATCTATTAAGCTGCGTTGTTCTGCAAAAAGCTTACACTGCAATCTATTTAGACAATAAATGGTATCATCCTGAATACAAACTTCTAAGAATTTAGAGCATACAATACAGCAACAGTAAATATTAGACTTTTATTGACTAAAATGTTATATCTAGGGATGCACCGATACCGTTTTTTTAGTATCAAGTAGCAATATTTTTTTCCCTCAGTACTCGCCGATACCGAGAACTGGTGCATTGTGCCCGGATTATCAGGAAGTCAGGCGGCGGACCATGACCCGTTGCATGGCTTCCTGATTGCCTGTGTTCTAGCAAAAGAACACCGGCTTCAGAGGCTGCCTGGTTTCCTGACCAATCAGGAAGCCGAGTAATTACGTACCGCACGGATTCCTTATTGGTTAGGAAGCCAGGCTGCTTAGCAACACGTGAAGCCGGGATGCGGGTCATAACCCACCGCCCGGCTTCCTGATTGGAAAAGAAAACAGATCCATGCTCCCTCAGCACTGCCAGTCAGAAGGAGATCTCCGGCTGACCAGATGTTCTGGTATCGGAGTTAAGTATCGGAGCATCCCTAGTTATATCTGTATACTAATTATTACTAAAAGGAAGAATCAGCATACCATCATCCACAGAGAAAGATCCAAGTAAGAAACAACAGAAAACTCTTCTCTCAGTCTTCGCGTGTCGGTAAGCGAGCCGCAAAGCTTTTTCAGACAGTAACAAGTGAGGATTCCTGAAAAGCAATCAAAGCAAAGAAGTTATTGATGTCTGCATAAAAAAAAAAGTGATTATTCAAGATATTTTATTTTAATCTTTGATGTTGTCACAAAGAAAGATAGGTCCTTATACATCACTGAACTGGAAATGATCATTTGCTGCAAATAAAAGACTGAGAATAAGAATGAAAACAACAAAAACTAGTTCAGTGTTAGCTTCTCCCAGAGAAGAAGAAGAGGTGCCAATGTGACAGCTATGTCCTCTGTGTCAGAAACAAATTGGTAATTGAATACATTAAGTACCTGTAATAGCTGAAATGTAACCCTATCGGCTCCCCGATGGGTGTCGAGTCCCAGAGCACAGTTTTAGTTGGAGGGAAATGAATTGGTAGCATCCTATTTGACACATTCCTAAAAATAAACAGATAAAAGAAGATGCACATGAAAAACATTTGCTGAAATATTCCAGCAGAAAAAAAAAAAAAGAACAAAAAGCAGAAAAACTTCCAATTCTAAACAGTATTTTCTACCCCTCAGACAGATGTGGGGGCGGATCCACTCTGAGCGCAGCTCTTCCCTCCATCTGCCCACAATAGACCTTTCTCCAGAATAAAACCCCGCTGCTCATTAAAAGTCATAGCTGGAATTAGTGTGTCTGGCAAACCATGAACTTTCAATTTACAAGGACGGTTTTACATGTCCAGCAAAATTCGGTGTTCAGCAGCAAATTGCAGCAATGCGGAAATCACCTTTACTTTTATATCGTCATTGCTGAGTAATCAGCGTACAGACATTTTGCATCTTTCTTTTAATGAATTGGCAATGCATTCCATTGAATTGAAAACCCCGCAGTAAATGAACAGCTCATTCACACTTCAGTCCTTCCTGCAGTTGCTGGCCGTTTGGCAGGCAGTTCTGTTCCAACTTAGTGACACCAAACTAAACTCAGGAGTTAAATCTAAAGCTGGCCATACACCTTACAATCATTGCAAGACTTTTGTCTTGCGATGGTTGTAAGGTAATTAAATAAAAACGACGATCTGCCCATCTTGAATAGGCAGATCGTACTTGCGATCGTCGATGACTGCAATGCTGAACAGGGCAGTGTGCGCTTGCGCACATCGGCCCGTGCGGCATTTGTCTTACGAGCAGGCCACAAACTGCTCGAAAATCATACGATTTTCAAACATGCGCGTAAGACAAAAGACGTGCGACCGTACAGTAGAAACGGTCGCACGCCTTCCACACACCTGCCGATTATCGTACGATCGTAGGATTTCCTGCGATTATCGTACGATAATCGGCAGGTGTATGGCCACCTTTAAGAATACATTCAAGTACCTTAACTATTAAAAGGAGAACTATGGGGTCAGTGTTTTTCCCCATATTTCTCCTTGGGGTAACGGGAGGACACAAACTAGCGTCCTCCCGTTACCCTAAGCTCAGTATACCGCGAGCTACAGCTCGCGCTATACTGAGACACCGCACCTGGAGCGGATCCCGACTTAGATGACGGGATCCGCCAAGCTGCGTGAGTGACAGCTGGCTCTACCTATCTAGAGGCAGAGCCAGCTGTACCCGCCCCCTCCCCTGTCCGTTCCGCCAGTCAGCGCTGGCAGATCGGAGCGGGGAGAGGGGAATCCAACCCCTCCCCGTCACGGCAGAGAGCCATGACAGGATCGAGAGGTGAGGGAACCCGGTATGTGTTCGCTCACCTCCCGATCTACTGAGCCGACCTATGACAGTTGTCACAGGTCGGCTAGAACTATGAGGTGAGTTGAAATCACTCATCTCATAGTTCTCCTTTAACAAAAATGTATCTTATTTGTGTATCACACGGCTGTAGATCCTCAAATCATCTCTGAATTGGTGCCGACACTCTCCTTCCTTCTGGAGGGTGGCTACTTTTGTTCCCCATGGTCCCTGTGTGTGTTGTAAAGTAGTCACCGCTCCAAGCTCACTCCAGTGATGGACTACAGTCTCAGGTTTAGTTTACCAATTTGTACTGAGATTGTAGTCCATCACAGGAGGGAGCTTAGAGCAGTGACTACTTTATAACACACAAACCCAGATTTACCCAACTATGAATATCATATTCACAAAATGTATCTTACCGAACGTTAATCTGATTTTCATTGGAAACAGGTTTGTGGTGCTGCAAACTCATCTTTGCACTCATGTCCTGCAACACAAAAGGAAAGATGGAAATGAAAATTTAGCTGAGCTGGAAGTATTTTACCGGTCCGCTCCATAACTTACTAAGATAAAAAGAGACACTTCCCTCTTATTAAGCAGTGACAGTCTAAAGCTGGCCATACACCAGTGGTGTCACAAAGGGTGACACCAAAATGACTGTCATTTTGGTGTCACGCACTCTGAAAAGTCGGGCACTCCGTCATGGACCGAGAGCCCAACGGTTTCGGGAGAGAACCCGGCGGCATGCCTTGTACCGCCAGGTGACTGTCCCCTCCTGTCTCTGCCAGCATCCATCATCAAGATGGCCGCCGGCAGGTATCAATAAGATCGCCACACATGCACAATGACGTCATCATGCACGCGGTGATGTCACGCGCATGCGCTATGACATGACGGCGGGGTGTCACCCGGTAACTGCTCTGGGTGACACCCGGCCTCGGGACGCCCCTGCCATACACCTATAGATTATATGCAGATTTTCTATGGTCAGATGGAAAAAGTGCAACAGATTCCTCAATCTACGCTAAACTGTTCTGGGGCAGTGCATTGAGGTGAATGGCACCATAGAACCGCCCCCCATTCCTCCCCAGTAGTGCATTTGGCAAAACATTGCCTGCGTTCCGGTCCAGTGTGAACGCAAAAAAAATGCAGCACGCCCCAGAACAAAGGTGGGAGTTTAGTGTGGGATTACTGTGCGTTCCAGCATCTACCGCTCCGGAACACCGCAATTGGTGTGAACTGGCCCTAAACTCTTTGCACTGTGGTGGTAGCCCCACTACAAGGGTTAATAACATTTTTACCCGGAGTTCTGCTTTAAGATTTGAAAATGAAAGACAGACGCTGATTGTCTGGTATGCACAGCTGCTGCAGTCTTAGTAAACTCCCCTCTATGTCTCTTCTGCAATAGAAGATTCTGACCTGCCTGTTCACAATGTACACTGAGACGCGCACACACAGCTCAGAGTACAATTTCGGCATCTTACAAGATAAATAAGCTCCAGGGTCGGATTTAGCATTAGGCAGAGTAGGCCTACAAGAGCCCTCCGTAGAGGCACCTACTCTGCCCAATTCCCGATGTTGTCTTTAGATACAACACCAGCAATAGCAAGCAAATGCACCCTCCTGCTCCAAGACCAGCAGTGCCTACAGGAAACGCAGGGGAAGGACCCAGGCGCTGCGGAAGGCTGCCCTGTAAAATGCCCGTCTGGTGAGCAGACTTATGTGACAGCCGGCCGGTCCTCCCCTGCATACGTGAAAGCCGGGGTCCTTCCCTGCATACGTGAAAGCCGGGGTCCTTCCCTGCATACGTGAAAGCCGGCCGGTCCTCCCCTGCATACGTGAAAGCCGGCCGGTCCTCCCCTGCATACGTGAAAGCCGGCCGGTCCTCCCCTGCATACGTGAAAGCCGGCCGGTCCTCCCCTGCATACGTGAAAGCCGGCCGGTCCTCCCCTGCATACGTGAAAGCCGGCCGGTCCTCCCCTGCATACGTGAAAGCCGGCTGGTCCTTCCCTGCATACGTGAAAGCCGGCTGGTCCTGCAGCAGGTGCGGGCGCAGGTTCAGGCTAAACAGATTTCCACTCGTGCCCAAAAGGTGCCTGAAATGGAAATCCGGCCCTGCTAAGCTCCCATGCCTGTGAAGGCGTTACATCAGGGGTAGCCAAACTCCGGCCCTCCAGCTGTGGTGAAACTACAAATCCCATGATGCACCTTTCTCCGGGAGTCATGTCTGTGGCTGAGAGAATCTTGCAATGCCTCATGGGATTTGTAGTTCCTCCACAGCTGGAGGGCCGGAGTTTGGCTACCCCTGCGTTACATCATCCCAATCGAGGTGGCAGAAGATGCCGTACCAGGATAAAGACCGGGGCGAAGGTGTCAGCAAATAAGTTCCAGGACGCCGTATCGCTGGAGGCGGAGCACAGCCCCGGCAAAACACATTGCTAATGTCAGCTAACGATTGAATCATACGAGTCGCCTACAGTTTGTTGCTGTTACAACCTACACTAGCACTAAGGCCCCGTTCCCACTGCGCGATATGCAAATTGCGCGTTTGTCGCGCGATTTGCATATTGCGCGACATCGCGAGATTTGCCGCACGATGTCGCGTTTAAGCTTGCATTGAGCAAGCTTGAATCGCGGCTAAATCCGCTCCAAAAAGGGTCCTGCTGTAGCGACACACGACCCGCGACAGCAGGACCCTTTGCCCCATTGGATTGCATTGGAGCGCGATATCGCGCGGGAATTACCGTGCGATAAATCGCTCAATGTGAACGGGGTCTTAGCATGCTCTGCCACTAACCCAGGGGTGAGCAACTCCAGCCCTCTAGGTGGAACTACAAGTCCAATTAGGCATTGCAAGACTGTCAGTTACAGGCATGACTCCCAGAGGCAGAGGCATGCTGAGATTTGTAGTTAGAGCACACGGGAGGGCCGGGGTTGTCCACGCCTGGCCTAATCGCCTCTCCTTCAGTGATTTGCAGCCGAGTCCATAGCGGGCAATGCAGAGCGATGGTCGCCAGCAAGAAGCGCTATGAATAGCCAGAAAATTAGCAATTCCATAGCAAACTATGGGGGAGGGGAATCACTGCAAATGAATCACTTATCTGACATCCCCATAAATGTTATACATGGGAATGTATCAAAACTGGAGCAGCTGTGCATTGCAACCAATCAGCTTCTCTCTTTCATTTTTAAATCTTACCTGAACAGATAAAAGAGAGAAGCTGATTAGTTGCCATGGGCAACTGCTCCAGATTTGATAAATTCCCCCCATAGTATATCAACCAGGAAGGGGAACCCGTCTCCCAGCTCTATAATAGGGAATCCTGAGACTTAGGCTATAAAGAATTCTGAGACTTGTAGTTCCCCAGAGCAGGAAGGGGAGACATGGGCCTCCCGGGGCGGTGGTAGGGATCCCAGCTGTGTATCAGGATTCCCATCACGGAAAGACAATGAGAGAAGACTCACCTACAGCTCAGCATGGATGCTGCCACCCGTCTGCTGGTCAGCTCCTGCACTGCTCTCGGTGAGCCTCCTGAGCGGCAGGAGTAGCGGCAGGAGTGGCGGCAGCTCCCGAGGGAGGGGTTTCCGTGATCAACACTGACAGTTACCGGTTCCCAGCGCTCCAGTGCCCACAACACACAGACAAGCGAATATGGCGCCAGAGAGTCCCAAGGGCCCGGGCTACTACTCCCGCCCCGCGGCCAATCAGAGACGTCGGTCGAAACACGTCCAACCAATAGGTGCGTTTGCCGAACGCCGACTGATCCAATCACAGTCAGGTAATTCAAACAGACAACGGTAGAGCCGCGGTAAAAAAAAAAGAGTGCGCGCATGCGCTGTTTCCAGGCGAGGAGGATTGACAGGAAACCGGTTGCTTAGCAACAGAGAGGACGCTGACAGTCTCAGTTTGCTGGGTTTTTTAATGCTTCAATTAAAATGTCACTAAACAAAACCAAAACCAAAAAAATATATTTATTCATTTGTTAAACCGTTGCCCCGCACTTCCTTTTTCAGGGTGGCTACGTTCGCCTTACATGGTCTCCAGGCATGTGTATTGTAGCCACACCCCAGGCTCTGTGTGTTCCAGGCGCCATCTCCAAAACATTCTGCCACTCTTCATATCACACCAGGGAATACTTTATTGGTGGTGCCCAGTACAGATTCCACCCCTCCCTAGGTACGCCACTGCCCCAGTGTATGCAATCACTGCACAGTGGGCCCCCTCCTCCCTGGGGCTCATGCACACTACACGCACTGACCACATTAGAGATACACCAGCAAGAAGGAGGTCAGCTACAGGTCAAACGGACCCATCAATGAACTCCGAATGATGGTGTCTCAAACTGGTTTTATTTCAAGATATCCCATTGCACTCCAAACTCATGTATCCTAATGTGTAGCTTATATGGCTGCGGAAATGGCCATCGGTTGGCGCTGTAAGACTAAGGGCCGGTTCACACCACATCCAGTGCGTTCCAGTACCATTAGTCGTCGGGACGCACTGGATGGGCATAATTAAAGAGCTCCTGCGTTCTAGGGCAGTAGTGGGTTTGGTGGTGACATTCATATCAATGCCACCTCAGCCACGCCTCCCGCCCGCAGTGCAATCGCCCACACCAGAACACGTAGTACACAAATACTACGCACCCAAGCACTCCGATGCCTAGGACGATACTTCAGGTATCAGGAAGCCGGGCAGCGAGTCATTACACGAGGGAGCTATGAGCCGGGCAGCGTGTAATGACTTGCTGCCAGGCTTTCTGATTGGTCGGGAAGCTGGCCAATCAGGAAGATGGGCACCGTGTAATGACGCGGCGCCCGGCTTTTTGGTTGGCCGGGAAGCCGGCTTCATGCTCCCTCGTCACCTCATGACGAGGGAGCATGGAGACGGCTTCCCGGATCGTCACCTAGTGACTAGAAGCATGGGGACGGCTTCCCTGATTATCGGGACACCAGGTGGCGAGTCTTTACTTGCCGCCTGGCTTCCTGAATGGGACTTCCGGTATCGGTATCGATGAGTACGGGAAAAAATATATATCGGTACTCGTACTCGATACCGAAATACCGGTATTGGTGCATCCCTAGTTCTAACCCTTCCCTGCTCCATCCAAAATAAAAAGATTTCAGCTGAGGTTATGCTTCAATTTTTCTGCCATTTCTTATTGGTAAAAATTGACAGGGTTATTCACAAAAGGGTGAAGAGTCTATAGAAGGCAAAGTCAACAATCTAGGCCAAATAGCTGATTTTTAAAAGGTTTCCAATCCAGCTCACTTTCTTGTTCAGCTACTTTGGCCTAGATTGTCTTCTTCTGCCTTCTTATAATTGCCGGCTTTGTATCCTTTAAATATCTTATTTCTCTTTTCTTCCCCAGTCTTCTGGCAGTTGCCATGTTAACTAAAGGCAGGATACTAGCTCTCCTATTACTTCTTGGATTTTTGGAACATGTGACTAGACATGTGACTAGGACATGTGACCATGCACATCTTAGGGGAGGAAAATGCCTTTCCCTGAGATCTCCTGAGATTACAGATGAGATTTCCCAGCAATGCTCTACCGAAGACAAGGCAATCCCAGTGTGCATTGTGTTGGCAAACTGAAGTCATTTTGCACTTTCAAAGCAAGAAGTGAATGCTCTGCAACCATGGCGTAACTAGAATCCTCAGGGCCCGATGCAAGAAACCATTAAGGCCCCCCTCTAACCCTAAAAAACATGATTTTGATACCTTTTTCAATATCCAAGCACTATTTTTTCTGACTGGACAGGACCGCAGGCATTGATGTGCCTTGCGTTCCTATGCTGTTGATCGCATTGTGGCTGGAGGGTGTGGCTGCGGTGCTATTCACTTCAATGCACAGCCACACACCCTCCCGCCCCACAGCAAATTGAGCCGGATGCAATGTGATCCAGTGCGTTCCGGCCACAATCAGGCCAGAACGCACTGAGGATGGTGTGAATTAGCCCTTAAAGCATTTTATTAATTTTTGGTTGGAATTTTTTTTTTAACCCTGCAAGACAATGACACGTATACATGACAGAAAGCACATATACAATCAGTACCTACCTGGACCTACTGCAGCTCTCCACCAGAATGTCCTCACTCACGGCTCCCGATCTCTGTGCCTCCAGCTCCAGGCTGCTAATTCCTGCACTCTCCACACTGCCTGGACATCCTGCCAGCTCCCTTGCCGCACGCCAAGTTGCCTGCTGGGAATTGAAGTTCCCTGACAGGCCATACCCCTGCTACCGTGGTCCACCTTCCACCGTCCGCAAGTGTCAAACACCGCGGGCTACGGGCAGCAGGCAGCTGCAGGCCTTCTTCTTCTTTCTGGGCCCCCCTTGAACTGGTGGAACACCAGGGCCCGGTCGCAAGTGCGACCGCTGCGACCCTGGTAGTTCCGGCAGTGCTCTGCAAGATTATTTTAAAATCACAGCATTGTACACATCAAAGTCCAAATCCCATTCGCACTGCCACGGTCTCAAAACCACAAGGTATATGTGGTGCCCAGGTGACCACACGGATGGCACCGTGCAAAACACTAATAGTAAATAAAAGTATTTCAGTTTAGCACCGTATGACAGTATGTGACATTAGGTATTGAATAAACATATCAATACTTTAAAAACCCTTCAAGTGTGTGCCGGTGAATTACTTTCATACATAGAGGGATGCATTGGTAGAATTTTTTTTTCAGTGTGAAAGTCCGCTTTAAATTCTGAAGAAGTTTCTAAAGAAGGAAACAATTGCTAGGCGCGACATGCTGTCACTGCCTTCAAGATGGGCATTTGCCCTCAACAATAATGGCGACGACACCGCACGCGATTGACTAGCGTGCGATCCAATGAGAGCCAGCGGAGGAGGGGGCGGGCCGAAACGGACGTAGAACGTCACTTCCCGTGTATGACACCTCAGCAGGCTGCCGGCTTTCTCCTCCCTCCCTCTCTGTGTATGGTGTTCCGTGCCCTGGGCGCTCTGCCCCGCCTTTCTTCGCTGTCCGTCCGCTCTCTGCTCAGTGCTGTCATGAAGCCGATCGTGGTGTTTGTCCTCGGCGGGCCCGGCGCCGGAAAAGGGACCCAGTGTGAGAGGATAGTGCAGGTGAGTGAGAATCAATGGAGGGTGGTGTGACCCTGCTGAGTCCGGTCATATCCTCCGCTGTCGGTGCCATGGGATGATTACACCGAGGCTGAGCATCCAGCACACCACCATAACAATTTAAAGTCACCCCATTCACAACACCTAGTGATGTGTAAATGCGTGCGAACGATCGTTCGTGTACGTTTCTGCTGCCATTGTTGTGCGGCACATTCAATCATAGGGCTGCCGCAAGCGTGTTGCACGTTTTAAAACGCATTGCGGGAAATCGCGCCAAGGTGTGAACGGGGACCTAAAGATTTCAAATGCGCTCACCCCTCCTGAGGCCTGGAGTGCTCCCCTAAAATGTCTTGAGTGTCGCCTCCGCCCGCCATGTTTCTTGGTTCCTTCCTCTGACCTCTACACCACTATAGGTGGTATACCCACTATACTCACCTCAACCTAACCACTGAACCATCATGTTCTCAAACAATTCATCCCCACACAGCTCCCTCCTCATGTATCACTGGCTCCTCCCTTTTAGTTTGTAAACTCTCACAGGCAGGGCCCTCCTTACCATCGTGTCTTGAATTGTATTGTGATTGTAATGTCTTCCTTATATTGTATAGCGCTGCGCAAACTGTTGGCGCTATATAAATCCTGTATAATAATAATAGGGCTCAGCAGTGATGTAGGGGTCAGAGGAAGGAACCACAATGTGTGGCGGGGGGCGCATTGACAACTGACTACCGGGAAATGTTGAATATCTCGGAAGCTGCGGTGCTTTTCTTCTGCAGACTTGGTCAGTAGAGTCTTTTAATCAGCCTAATCAGGTCACCACATACCGACATTTGGGACTGTGAAAGATTCCTTTCTCAAGGTGATAGCGATCACAATAGTGTCATTGTTACCTTCAGAGGGGAATCCGCATGTTCCTGAAATGCCAGTATGTGGTGATCCCGTGATGTCTGAATTAAAGGTCTCACAGCCATTGTTGTCTGTGAGTGGCTGTGTGCCGCACCAGTACGGCCGTTGTTGTCTGTGAGTGGCTGTGTGCCGCACCAGTACGGCCATTGTTGTCTGTGAGTGGCTGTGTGCCGCACCCGTACGGCCGTTGTTGTCTGTGGGCGGCTGTGTGCCGCACCAGTACGGCCGTTGTTGTCTGTGGGCGGCTGTGTGCCGCACCAGTACGGCCGTTGTTGTCTGTGGGCGGCTGTGGCTTTCCCAAGTAGGTGAATATGCCCACATTTAGCTGTATATCCCCAGGAGGCCTTACATTCAAATAATGTTTTCCCTAAACATACAAGCTCGGTTCGCCCAGGCGTGCATGTTTTGTAGTGCAGACAAGAGGGGAAGTGCAGCCAGATGGCTCCTCGTGAATGGCTGTCTGGAAGTACCCAACATGGCCATTTGCTGCTTTCCCCAGCTTCAGTCAGTCATGGGGCCTGGTGCAATGTAAAGGCATTCATAGATACATGACTGGTATGTCCAGAATATAGTATGTGCTAATTATCTTCTACATGTGGCGACTTTCTGTGGCAGGAGTCAGGAATGCTCATACAGGATGACAGGTCCAGCCCATAAGGCAAATAGCTGCCAGCTCACCAGCTGACCAGGATATAAGGAGGGCTGTCACACCAGAAACATTGCAGCAGCCTGGAATCTCTCCGTTACAGAGTTACCATCATATCTACTGTAGGTGTGTTATACACTGAGTGGCCAGATTATTATGACCACCTGACGTTTGTAGGCCAATTAGCTATAATTTTGCGCTGAAGTTGCTAGAGGGCCAGACCATTATAAATAGGGAAGCAGGTTGTTTACCACGACAGTAGAAGTGATTTTTTCTGAAGATACGGGGAAACAACGCGATTTAACAGCCTTTGAACGTGGGATGATTGTTGGCGCTCGGAGCCATGGAGCGAGTATCAGCAAAACAGCAGAATTCGTGAAATGTTCAAGAGCAGCTGTTGTTAAAGTGTTTAAAGACCGGACTGTCAGCCGAAAATCTGAAGGTGCGAATTGTGGCCGTCAGCGACTAGTCAATGTTAGGGCAGAACGGGAGAGTGGCAAGACTGGTACAGTGCAGTGTCAGATTCCTCGCATCACCTTTCAACATCTCGTGGAGTCACGAGGCGGCCCAACGAAGTCATCTCATGGAGCCATCTCGTGGCCCAACGAAGTACTGATGGGGTCGTCATAATAATCTGGCCACTCATCCATTTTCTTTTACATCATGTGGATGGCCGGGTGTATGTCTGTCGCTTACCTGGTGAAGAGATGGCACAGGTATGTACTATGGGAAGAAGGCAAGCCGGCGGAGGCAGTGTGATGCTTTGAGCAATGTGCTGCTTAGAAACCTTGCCATTGGACCACCAGTGTAGTGTGCAACGCACACAAAGATTCAGGAGGTGGTTCAGCCAGCCCTAATGCATTTTGTTTTCATTTTTCGGCAAGGTGATAACGGATCAGGTGAACTCAAGGAATTCTATATTT